AAATATTTTTGGTCAAATTTTCGATACCGTAAAAAGTAATTCTCTTCCAAAATGGGCATAAAACTCTTGTTAGGGGTCGTCCATAAACTAAGTCACGTTTAAGGGGGGGGGGGGGGGAGGGTTAGTAGTTTTGTGACAACTCATACAAAACTTGTTACTATGTTACGATGCTGTGACGACGGGGAAGGAAGGGGTCTAAAATGGTTAAAAATTGCGTGCCGTAATTTGTGAACGACCCCTAAGTGAAATTTGCTGGCTTTTAACTTAAAACGTTTACTTGTATAATTTTATATGCCGCTCAAGAATCTTTTTTTATAAAGTTAAATCTCCTATTTTAGATAAAAACTTACTAGTTAAAGAAAAAAACGTTTAATTATGAGGTTTGAATCAAATACGGCAATTATTTGCAAGTTATTATTTTTAACTATTCACAATAGTTCTTAAAAGTTATATTTTAGTCGTAGATTAGCACTTGACACATGTTACCTTTGGGGTTGTACTTATTTGAATCAAAAACAATATCTTGTTGTATGCTTACCAGCTCATTTATCACATATTCTGCAGCCACTAGACGTCAAAAGATTTTGGCGCAAATTTCTTCAACTCCTGCATTTTTCCAAAAGAATGTTTTAGTAAACTGCACGCAAAAACTTTAAGCTCTGGTGAAGTTTTTACACGCTCGCAAATAGTTACTGGATTTCAAAATACTGGTTTGTTTCCATCCGGCTTCAAGAAAATTGATTAATTTAAATTTCAAATTGTTAATACGTTTAACCTGAGCTTTTTTAATAACAACCACCAGAATCTATGCTAGTGCCACCACCACCACCAATAGCTACACCATCTCTGCTACTACCTTCTGAATCTACACCAACAACATTTAGCATCAGCATACGTTGTATGGGACCGGCTTCTAAAGTTAACTCCACAATCAACTTGCCCGTAATCAACGTTCAATAGGGCTATAAGAAGTTAAAAAAAAATTGCATATGGTCCAATTGCTTGCCGCAATCTAGTTTGCTCGTTTTCACACTCACAGTCATAGTAAGTGAAAACCATGTGGGAAAAGCTATAACATTTTAATAAACCAATCAATACGAATAGTTTTTGTGAGTGGTTTCTATCGTTACGGACATTTTGCACTAAACTTAATTTGATTTAAATGAAAACAAAGTGGATAATTTTGAGATAATACTCTCATATTGATAACATAATATCAATAACAATATATTGATATTTGCAGAAAAACATGACAAAAATTGGACACTCTAATTATAATTATACTCCTGAATAAAAATTAATTATTAAAAAATTTAAAATCTATATGTAAAATAATTTTTGAAACTTAAATTTTTGTAAAACACTATCATAAATCTCCAAAAATAATTTAAAGAAATTATGAATCATCAGTAATATAATTAGTAAATAAATTAAAAGGAAAATTCTTCTTAGAAAATGCTATGAAAATTATTTTAAATTGGGTTGAAGTTGAAGGATCTTTTAATTTCGTTGCAGGAAGCCAAGTCGTCAAGTACAGCCTGCGAATACCTAAAAAACAAAAATAAAAAATTACTGTTCTATCAATTTATCATACATGTTTTATTTTCATTCAATCTGTAAATTCTATTTCATAAATCTACACACACTGTAATTTGCATAGCTTGTTGAACAGTCTAGCTTTAGATATGTTGTGGATTATATAGCTAAACTTAACTTAAATTTAAACCAATAGAATTTTTTAACCTAAAACCAATAAAACTACTATATACATCTAAACTTTAATTAATTCAGAAAAAATATAAAGCATAACATTAAGAAAGGTGTAATCTTATTGATATTTTTATAACAGTTAATATTTATAAAAACTAATAAAAATAAATTATTTTCATATTTGGAATATGCTATCTTTTTTATGAAAGTTATATGAAAATATCTTGAAATGATATAAATAAAACTAAGTCTAAAAAAATATATTAATTAATTTGAGTAAATATAATTTCTGAAATCAAAATATAATTAAAATGCAAAAGGATTTTCAGAAAAAAAATCAAACCAAAAAATGTGTTTCTTGTACATTCTTTTTGATATTTGCCAGCACAAATTTTTAAAAGCCATAAAGCTGACCAACTTTGCAAGTCATTACATCTGTGATACCTATTTTGAAATTCACAACACTTATTTGGATCATGGCTTTACTTATAACCTTAACAAAAACATCGAGGTTTTTAATAATTTGATATCTTATATCACATTACTATGACCTCATATATATAGTATATCTGATACCTTGTATCAGATGTATATCAACTTTGAAAAACAAACTACAAGTTTGTTTTTGAACATGCAACATTTAAATGGATATTAATAAATATAAATGAGAAAAATACAGTTTTTTAAGATATAGACCAACATTTGTATGAAAAATTATTTGTAATAAAACATTTAAACCTGTAAAAATAGAAAACTTGTGAACACTTCAGTTCATTACTTATGTAATCTAACATTATATTCAAATAGTTTTTTGAATATACTAATTATAATTCCAAATATACTTTTTTGTAGTTTTTTGTAAAAAGGGCCGCCAATTTTATGAAAATTAGTCATAGAATTATCAGAGATAAACCCATACTTATCTTTAATTTTATTTTTTTAAAAATTCCACAAATAGCCCTAGTGTGTTAGGTCAATATTTAGTAAGAGATTATAAAGTTTATTATTTTAGCTTATAAGATCTTAACCATAATAAATAAGTCTACAAAAAGATAAACCTCTTTGTTATCTCTTCTATACGAACAGTTTTACATTTGAAGCTTATACTTGCAATAATATCTTTCTTTTTAGCTAGAGATCTATATCATTTAATATAAAAATGGTATTATTGACCCTATTTAAATCCGACAAGTGTGGAATTAATGAAATTGGCATTAATCTCTAAAATCTTATAAATCTAAAAATATATTTTTTAGTTTTGCAAAAAAATTCTTCTAAACTAGATGCAAAATCTCCTTTAAAATCCTCTAAAAACTTATTTTTTTAAGAAAATTTTTTATGACTACCCTATATCAGAAAAGACTCCTTGTCAGTGCCGCTCCGAAAAAGGAAAGAAACAGATATATTTTCCCAAAAGTTCCAAGCATGATACGGGCCCTATGTAAGAATTCCTTTTTTTTAATAAAGTTGATGCTGTGGGAAAATTTTTGAAAAAAATGGTATTTTTAAGAAAAAAAAAATTTTTTCCCACAAAACCCAGCCAGCTTCGAAGCAGCCCTGCCACTTGCAAGAAATACCTGTTTTTGGATACAGTTTTGTGAGAGCTGCATGAGCAAAGTTTTCGAAAATTGCACATCGTCATTAACAACTAAAAAGTTTTTTTAATTTATACTTAAACTCTTATAAGATTGATGTTCCAACAGCAATTGAATTTTAAAGTTAGGTTCTAAATGTATTTCAAATGTCTTTTAAACGTTTTCTAAACGTTTTTTCGTAAAGAACGTTCAAAAGACGTTGAAATACGTTTAAAAGACATTTAGAACGTAACTTTTAAAAACACAAATGCCCGAAATTATTTTTTAATATAATTTTCTAAAAAAAATCTAAAGAACACCATTTTGGAGTCTTTAAATCACTTTTGCTCATCGCGATGACTTAAGAACTAAATTCATGTTAACGTCAATGCATCGGCGTTTACATGAATTGAGTTAAAATCTTTTAAAAAAAGGGCTTTAATTTACCATAGATCCTAGTTCTAATTGGTTCTAATGCATCTTTTCTATATATAGTTGTAAAAAAAAATAATATTTCTATCAATTTTCACAAAAAATATTAGAATTCCGACCAAGAAAGAGTTTATAATTAAAAAAAACAGAACAAATCATATTATTAAACTATGATGTTCATTTTACCTAAAGAGCGTATTTATTTAAAATCTTATTCAAATTTGGACATGCGATTGTGATTTTAAGAAGATTTTTTTAAAAAAAAAAAGAATCTTCAGTCTGGGTTTTTTCGCCATAAACATTTATTTTTTATGTTACCACAAAATTTATCATTTTAATGTTTTTCGTCTTTTCCTAATTCACAGTCGTGATCATTTAACAGAAATATGTCGTAGTCAACAAGATATCATGCAGACGCCTTAAGTACACCGAGCGCGATTTAAAAATATAACTTTAATTGCAAAAAAAAGTAACTTTTGGAAAATGTCTTAAAAATTTACACTTTTTTTCTAAAAATTAAAAAATTACATAGAATTAAATGTTAAAAATTGAGTTTTTTCAAAATGAAAAAATTTGACCTTGCCGTTTCTTCCCGTCTAGTCTTTATATCTAAACTCATTACCACGTATCTCAAAAAAAGTTTTCAGGTGATACAAAAAAAGTAAACTGATGATTGAAAACTCAGAAATATAAACATTCAAAACTCGGAATAACTATTTTACCGGTTTCATAAATTTTTTGATTTTAACAGAAGATGGATATGGCAAATTATAGTTTATAGCATCAAAACCACAAAATTGCTACGTGGCAATGACTTTAGAGCGTCAGTATTCATAATACAATGTAAGAAATAACTCTAATATAAAAGGTTGCGTTGTCTCAACAAAATCAAACTTTGTATTTGACGTTATTTGACGATAAGCAAAAGCGTCCAACAATGTCATTAGGCCGGGTGGATAAAAAAAAGCAATTGCTTTGACTCGGGTGAATAAAAAAAGCAATTGCTTTGACTCATTTTTAGAGTAATTGTTCAGCCTTAGGTGAAGAAAAGATTTGAGCTAACCTCTTACAATATTTTTCACAAAAAGTTAAGCAATTTACTCCAAAAAAGCTGAGTAATTGCTCAGCTTTACCTGAATAAAAACTTGAGCAAATTTCGTAAAGTTGACTAATTACTGAGTGAAAGCAATTGCTTTTTTTTATTCACCCGGCCTATTGTTGAAACTTATTAATAAAAAAATTGAACGGAGAAAAAAATAAAAAACTATTTTTAGTTGCAAGAAAGTAGTATTTTTTTAAAAAAAATAAACTGAGAAAATACTTGTTTAAAAATATATTAAAATATACAAGATTTACCGAAAACTTGAATTACATTCTTTTCATACTATATTTTTAAATAAATGTTATTAAAGAGCGCAATGTTAAATTCAGATCATGTAAGATAAAATTTTTTGATAGCTTGTAAACATTCGTTACTTCCTTCCGCCTCCTCCAACTCCACCTTTTCCACCGTAACGACCACCTCCTCTGCCACCTTTTCCACCTTTTTCTTCGGTTCCGTCTCCACCGTTTTCACCATTTCCGTCTTTTTCTTTATTTCCGTCGCTTGCTTTGTTTTCACCACGGTTTCCTCCTCCAACACCACCTTTTCCGCCGTAACGACCACCTCCTTTGCCTCCGTCTCCACCTTTTTCTTCGGTTCCATCTCCACCGTCTTCACCATCTCCGCCTTCATGATCTTCATCTTCATTTCTAAATCAAAAATAAATAAAAAATTTAATACTGAAATAAAACTAAAGTTTAACTCAAAGTAGAAAAAAAAGATTACGTTTCTCTTTTTCCGTAACCATAACCGCCTCCGTATCCACCTCCGTATCCACCTCCGTATCCGCCTCCGTATCCACCATCATTATCTTCGTTTCTTAAAGAGAAATTATTTAATGTTAAGGTTGCATTAAATGCGGTATTTATTTAATATTAAACTGCTAAAAACTTACATTTCTTTTTTATAGTAACCTCCACCATATTTTCCTCCATAACCTCCGCCGTAACCCCCACCATATTTTCCTCCGTAGCCTCCACCGTAACCTCCACCGTATTTTCCTCCGTAGCCTCCACCGTATTTTCCTCCGTAGCCTCCACCATAATCATTCATTTTATTAGGAGATAACTCTTCGCTGATCTAAATTGAAAATTGTTTTTATATTGAAAACCAGTAAACACTAAACGTGTTTTAAACGTCTAAAAGACGTTTAAGAGATTTATGGTACACCTTTAGAAGGGTTACGCAACCTATGTTCACTAAAAATTCATGGTTATATGCGGTTAACGGAAAGCTGTTTTTATACCATTTAATAAGGAGCGACTCTAGAAAAAAAAATGAGAAGCGAATCTTTTTTTTTTTTTTTTAAGTTTCTTTAAACTTAAAAATTCTGCGGACTGAAATGTGAAAATAGCCATCCGAAAAAGAAAAAAGGGAAAAAGGAAAGACGAGATGTTACACACCACACCCCTCTTGTAAAAAGGGGTTTAATTATTTTATTTAATAAAAAGGTTTAATTAGAAATAATTCTATAATTAAATTTATAAATTTAATTCTATAAATATAATAATAATAATCTTTGGATACAAGAAAAAAAGTTAAAAAAAAAGAAAATATGAAAAAAAAGAAAATATGAATAAAAAGAAAACATGAAAAAAAAAAGAAAACATGAATGATTTTAAATGATTATTGTTTTATATGATTATTTTAAAAATAACTTAAACCAACCTCGTTACTGGATTCATCTTCGTTATCATTTACTGTATTTCTAGAAGGGGTAAGTATAAACTTATTACGTCGTAAGTATAAAAACTAAAATCTTTTTACTAAATATTTTTTAATAAAAAAAAACCAACTCAATATCTGCCTCATTGTTATCACTTGCAAAATGTTCCGAACTTGCTGCTCCAAGCTGAACGAAAATAAATTTAAATATTTTTACTTACTTAAATGATTTTTAGTATTGCTATACTGTATAAATAAAATTTACTTACAAAAATCTGAGAAGAAATTATGAAAAAAATAAGACTAAACATTTTTCTTCTTGATGCTTTTATAAAAGGTTTTTTTTTTAATTTTATTTTAAGTTGTCGTTTTTTTCAACCCTTTTTATACGCTTCACAAACCTAATTAAGAAATACCCAAAAAGCTAATTCAACCACAAACTTGCAGTATCTGGGTTATAGTAATTTGCAATTAAAAGAAAACTTCTAATAATCATTAAAAGGTGGTAAAAGTTAATTTAGTCATCAAAATTCTTTAAGTGTTACGTCATTAATCGGAACCTTCAATAAAAATGAACTTATTTATGAAACAATCGAATATAAAGGTTTATTTTCCAAACGTATTCTTATGTTATCACCGACTATATTACCTTATGTAATAAATTTATTTGAAAACGCTGCATATTTAAGTTAAACAAAAATATGTTTTTAAAATTTTTATATATTTTATTTTGGTTTAGAGTTTATTTCAGCAAATTGAATTACTTAATTTTTCAAATTAAAAATCTAAAAAAAAAAAAAAATTAATAAAGTTTAATAGATATAAATTATACGCATAAAATTGTATAAATTATAAAAAAGCATTTCAATTTTGACAAAATTATAACGATTCCTTAAGTTAACTACAATATTTTTTCGTAGTTTAATTTTTTTTTTTTTTTTAAACTAAATTAAAAGTTAAGCTTAACTTGGGACGCATTTGCCTACCTACCTATTTACCTACTTATCTATATTTAATGTTTAATTTAAATCATTATTATAATATTGCATTAAAAATTTTCTTATATAAATAAAAAACTTTTTTTTTTTTTAAATATTTTTAGCAAACAAATTTGTTTTGATTACTTATAAATATACTAAATCGATTAATTGAAGTTTAAATTTAAGTGAATTATTTCAGCTCGGTGCAAGTTTTTTTTGTTTTAATTATCTGCGTTTGCTTTTTTAAAGAAATATAAAGTGATTGTCTATGTTCAATATATACTATAAATTTACAGTATTAATAGTTATTTTTTTTTTTTTTTTTTTTAGCTTTTATTAACTTTTATTAACCTAATGATAGATTTTCTTCAAATTTTGCATACATACTCTTGCTTGATGAAAACAGAGTTCTTAACAAAGCCAAAAGTAGCAAGGTCAAGGCCGAGACCAAGGCCAAAAGTTACATAACCAAGGATAAGACCAAGACCAAGAGTTTTAAGGTCAAGGCCAAGATTAAGAATTTCAAGACCAAGATCTACGTAAACATTTTCAAGACCAAACACTTCATTTTTTATGAGCATTTAATTGGAAGTTCACGCCTCCTACCTGACCAATGTCGCAAAACTTGTTCAGAGGTGAGGTTTTCTGAGGCAAGTGCGTTACGGCTGCTTTTGCACTGCAAGCATTTTTGATTTTACATGGATATTAAATTTTTCAAAATAAGCTTTTTTTTAGCATTATCTTAAAGTTATAATTTATTAAAACCAATTAAAAACGAACATTTGAATTTTTTTAAATAAAATAGAATATAAAAAAAAGGTAATGTTTATTTTGAAATCTGTTGAAATAATTCGTTTCCAAAACAAGATTTTTTAAATTATGCATTCTATTGAAATCTAAAATAAGCAAAGTATTGAATAAAATGATTAAATTTAGCACAAATTAAATAAAAAAAATATTTAAAAAAATAACAATATAATACAAGTCACCAATTTAACATTATTTGAACTTTTGTTTTTTTTATTTTTAAATATGAAGCACTCTTTTTATTCAAAATCAGTGAAATTTTAAAATACTTGGATTTTGCTCAACGCGTCATTAAACGATATAAAAAAAGATTAGCGGGGATGCGCAGTGGGCCAGAAATTACTTTTACTCGTCATACAAAAAAGGTTTAAAAATCTTTTTTGCACTGCTTACTAATTTGAGGATTGCGGTTTTAATGGTGACACTTTTAACTTTGGGTCGTTATGGATACCTAAAATGCCTAGCAACCATATATTTTATTACCTCATTTTAGAATTATATGGTTCTATCTGCCTTTTTTTATGTTGTGAGAACTTAACTTTTAATATTTATTTAATACATGTTTTACAGCTGTTATTCATTATAATTATAAATTATAAGTCGTTATCTATATTTCATTATTGTTATCTTTATTTCATTATTTAACATATTTAATATAAAACCACTTAAAAAATGATATATAATATATCATTTTTTAAGAGGTTTGTTTTTATTATTAATTACTAATTTTAAGTATTTTTTTGACGTTTCAAGTCTCTTCATGAAACTACTACATAATCCATATAAAAAGAAACCCTGACTTTTAACCTTTTTGTGTATTTGTATATAAAATATTAGGATTAGCTGACTTCAGTTTTTTTTGTATTATATATGAATAAATACTTTTTATGTTTTAACTATATAAAAGTATAAATTTTATTTACAAAATTTTACAAATAGGTATTTAGAATGTTTAATAAATAAAGCAAGTAATCTAGTCTTGCTGAACACTAATCTAGTCTTGCTGACACCCAATTATTACATAGCCATTAAGAATAAAATACATATAATGATTTCGCCACATAAGATCAAATAAATCATTTACCCGGTAGAGATGAGCTAGCAACTAGCAAGTTACTACTTAAGGGTTAATGACGCGATAAAGACGTATAATATACGTAGTAATACGTGTTTTTGACTTTTCAAAACGTCTTGCATCAAGTAGCTATTTTTTCTTAAATTTATTAAATTATGCAATAAAAAGATAGGTTTTAAAGTTAACATCTATTCCATACTTATTGGTAACATAAAATACTATCAAATTATAAAAAAAAATTAAAATTAAAAAATAAATAAATAAAAAAAAAGCCTTTTATTCTACAGCTTGGAAACATACGGTACAATAATATATACATTTTAAAAAAGTTGAATGTTTAAGCTATAAAATGGTTTATAATAATGTAATTTTTGAAAATGTATTTTTTTTACTTTTGCCCACCACCTGGCCCACTATGGGATATAGTGATACGTGGATTGTGGAAATATTGATTGTGCGACTTAAGTAAACGTGAACTAATTACAAAAAAACAAAAAGATTTTAGTTGCACCGAGCTGAAATAATATGTATATATATATATATAAATATGTATATATATATATATATATATATATATATATATATATATATATATATATATATATATATATATATATATATATATAAATGTTTATTTATATATCTTATTATACGATTTATTACTTGTAATATATTGTGTTGTATTTTGTAATTTTTAACTTGTTACATAAACTGAAGGCAACAATGTAAACGGGGCTTGGTGATAAGACAATATACGTCTTCTTTTTGCTCCGGCCATATATTATATATGTACGATCTTCTTATTGTAATTGTTTATTGTATTGTTATTATTCTTATTGTAAATTTTATCAAACGGCAAAGAAAAAAAAAAAAAAAAAAAAAATTAGTAGATTTAGTATATTTAAGAGTAATCAAAATAAATTTGTTTTCTAAAAATATTTTTTGATTTTTGCTTTTTTAATATAGTTCTTTAAAAAAAGTTTTTTATTTATATTAGAAAATTTTTATTGCAATATTATAATAATGGTGTTGTATAATAGTAGCCCTCCTCAATTTGAGGAGGTTAAAAATTTTATGTGGTCGTAATTTTTGAATGCTTAAAGATAATTAATGAATTTTAAAATTTATTAACAAAAAATATAGCAAAAACATTTGCTAAAAATATAATCTTTTTGTACTAAAAAGTAGAAAATAAACTCATTAACAAAAAAAAGGAAAAAAACACATCTAAACTTTTTACAGTATTTGTGTTTATAAGAGAAGTTGTAAAGGAATTTGAAGAAATTTATTTCAGTTATTAAATGGCTAAAAGTTATGCAAGCGTGGTGTCACCTGGATCCTGTGCTAAAATTGGTAAAGTGAATCTTGGTGTTTTTATACCCACATCATCTAACATTCCAAAATGTAATGTAAAATGTAATGTAAAATGTGTAATAAATGATGTAATGCTAACAGATGGACACACTGGATCACAATCCAGTGCGTCCATCTGTTAGCTTTACATCATTTCTAACAAAAAATCGTAATATAAGATTAAGGTTTATATTCTGTTTTTTTTTTTTATGTCAGGTTGTAGAATTTATGTTTAAGGTACACGAGTTTTCAATTTAGGAAATTTGATCTTCTCCATCATGGCTATTAATATTTTAACGTGCAACATAAACGGTCTAAATGACCGAAATAAACGCGACAGTTTTTTGTGATTTCTCAAAAAGTCCACTTTCGATCTTATCCTCCTTTAAGAAAAAAAATCCGGACCTTCCACTGTTAAACAGTTTAGTGACGAATGGACTGGCGAGTCTATTTGAACTCCGATCCGAGTTATAGCTGTTGTGTGGTGGCGGTTCTCTCTAAATCCAACGTTTCTCTAAATGAACTAAAATGGGACAATAACGGGAGAATATTAAACATCATGATAAAAATGGATGAACACGAAATGCAGGTGCTGAATATTTACGCTCCTAATGTACCGAGAGAAAGGCACCGTTTTTTCGGCAACCTTGGTGACTTCTCGCAGGACACAGGACTACCCGTCCTGCTGGCCGGAGATTTTAACATGGTTAAAAGCCTGCCTCTCGACACAGAAGATACAAACAACGCTAAATATCACACCTACGGTATTGACAAACTCGAGGTCTTCCAAGGTAAGTATAACCTAGTAGATGTTTTTTGTTTTAAATTTCTAACCAAAAGAGAATTCACATGGTGAAATAGAGAGTAAAATGTAGACTCGATAGAACCTACTGCCCTGATAAAATCGCCAAAAAAGCAACATACACCAAAATTCTCACAAACCCCTTTTCCGATCACTAGTTCTTAACAACAACCTTCAATTTTAGTAAAACTAGGAGAAGACCAGGGTACTGGAAATTAAATTGCTCCCTTTCGGAAATAGAAGTACATAGGCAAAAAATTGAACTCTTAATTCAAGATTGGCAAACTAAAAAATGGTCCTATAAGTCAATTTTAAAAAACACATCAAAAGGATTGAAAACGAAATTCAACGGGAGCGGCTATACGCCAACCCGAACTTAGATAGCATCAAAGAAAAACGTGATGCTCTTTTCTTGCCCCAGTTTCCAGGAGC